TAAGAAAACCCAGTTTAAAAAGAGTTGGACCTTCTTTTGTTCGCAGTACTGTGACAGTATGAATATTCGGTGAACCGGAAGAGATACAAATCTGTGTGTTGGACCCCTTTCCATACACATGTGTGGCTACTGAAGTGGTACCGGTCGCTGCTAATGTAAACAGACAAGCGTCTCTCAGCTTCTCACTGTTACATGCGTGCATGCGTGCGTTAAGAACAAGCTGACTGATAATTGCGTTGTCCTGTAGTAAAGATAAGCTGGTCCAGCAGATGCAAGGCAGCAAAAAAGAATTCGAGCAACATATTTGTCAGGGACGTCGAAGTTCATTTTCCCACAACAACCCACCAATAAACAATATCCTAACCCATATGACTCCAATTTTATTGTTATCCTATAATTTATTCTTATATACCCAAAATAGTCTCTTCCCTTGGGACGTTTTGGTTAAAGGACAAATTAGGAAACTCCACGTACGCAATTTTCTACATTATCCTAAACTTATTCTTTCTTGAGTATTCTCCTCAGTACCAAAGAGCATTATGTGCTGTGTGATAAACGTTTCAGTAGCACAATAAATGGACATCATGATTAAAGTAGTATAATTAAAAAGCAGCAAAGAATAACTCATAATCCATAATCTAGGAAATTTTTAAATTGATCAATGGGGCAAACTTTAATTATAAACACGCAGATGAATATTACTTCTCTACCTTACCACTTTTATTTCAGATACATAGTTCACATTATCTTGGTCCTCGGTAAGAATGGCATAAGTCAATACAAATTAACAACAACACAACTTAAATCCTTCTCATGGATCACTAAAGAACTATCCTACCACGTCAACCATTTCTGTTTGTTTATACAGGCTACACGTAGACATGTCATTTTTATGCATATACCTACATCTGCCTATGTATCTACTTGCATAACCACCCAACTATCTTCTTTTCCCTTTTCTTTCTTCCTTTATTTATCTGTCTGTTTATTTCATTTATTTTCCTTCCTACCTTCTTCCTGTATTTCTTTCTTTCTCTGTCTGTACCATTATTAACTTCTTTATGCTTTATGCATTTATTTCTCTCCTCCTTTTTCGTAATTTCCTTTCTTTTATTTCTGTCTTTCTTACCCCATCCCTTCCCCTTTTTCCTCTCAGCTTGTGTCACTGAGAGTCCCCACCTTACAGGCCTACGTTTTAACAATAGAAACAAACCTGAGATCGGGAGATATTATTTCCCTACTCGGAGGTCTCGCCGGCTAAGCTACGGGTTCCACCTCCACGTAAGTAGATGGATGGAACAAATAAATTCTCCTCAATATTCCCAAGCGTTTGATTACTACACTTACGACCATATAATTAAGCTTACACAGAAACTTATGAGAGTCAATGTTTTGCTCTAATCAACATTTCCTGCGTTTTAACGTCACTTGGGTCACAAGTTCTGAGATACTTCTTATGTTCTTACAGCCAATAAGCTATGAAGATGTTTGGTTTTCGCTCAGTCGCGTTAATTGTTACTTAAAGAGATAAGGGACCACTTCATGTTAAAGATTTAATGTCCGATAATTCGAGAGGCAAATTTTCGTGTATGAGTACGTAAAAACGTCTAAAGAAACCATTTTTACAAGAACAGACATTTATCTTTGCAAAGGAGGTGATGTTGGCACCACACAAATGCCTCAGAAATTGTGATCTAACGGTTCCATTCGCAATACCATGCCGGATAAAGGGCATAAGAAGTGTCAACCAGAAAAGAGCTAGGAAATGAGGTACGTCACAAAAGGAAGAATAAATAATTGGTTCCTTGCAAGATGTTCAAACAGAGTAACTTCCAAAATACAAGGCAGACTGCATAACGCATAGGGGTTTTCTTGTAAGCTGTCCAATATTGCCGCCAAATCTTAACTAAAATTCCAAAGTGTCTACAGATTTTAATAAAACTGCCCGTCGTTTGGTCGTTCTCGAGTTGTGACATGTGCAGTCTACAGATGAACAAAGAGCCGAAGGACTGAGATTTTAATAAGCACTGTTTAGGGTGGAGAACACACCTGAAGAGTAGAACATCTATCATAATGAAAACCATTCACCTGAAGTCAGGAGTAGAGACAACTCCCGAAACGCCATCGAACCCTGCCTTAAAATGGGTCACGATACAAAATCCTTAATTTCATGTTACCATTTACGATCTCATTAGAGTATCCGTAGCACTTGTAGTTGATGCAGTGTTGTTTAATAATGAGAGAGAAGAACGAAGATGTCAGGATAAGTAGGGGTGGGGCCGAAAGTGGGCCCACCAGATGTTGCTGTGTCATGACTAGATTAGTTCGCCATACACCGGTCACGTCCAGCGACACCCGATGAGCCAGCCATCTCACGACAAAGCAAACACACGCTTGTTCATACCCTCGCACCCACGCTGACGAATTCACGACCCGAGAATTCTATATACGCCTCTTTACAGGCTATCCTACCACAGATTCTTTAAGTCCGCAATATTAACACAAACAGTCTCTATGTTCTTACTTCATTACACGAAAGCAAGTTTCATACTGACATAAAACAACATTTTAATAATATATTTTTTTAAGATTAGACCTTTTGAGTTTCACCGACATTTTTTAAGTTACCTGATTGTTCTAACAAAACATTAGGGAGCAGTGTACATTGATGTGTCTCTCAAAGTAATTAATTTATTCTAACGTAATAGAAATAGGTCTTTCCATAGGATCAGTATTCGTGGATCTGAATACATTTTATTTCCCTCTGCTTATTTATCAACGCTGTCAGTAGCTCAGACTATGTAACATTTGAGGTTTTCACAGCGGTGAGTATGAAAATTTCTGTCTTCTGAGTTATTGCGCTGTGTAGTCTGGTCGATGTTAACCAACTGTTTCAGAGGTGATACTGCCTCCGTCATCAGGGCGATGAGTATGAAAATTTCTGTCTTCTGAGTTATTGCGCTGTGTAGTCTGGTCGATGTTAACCAACTGTTTCAGAGGTGATACTGCCTCCGTCATCAGGGCGATGAGTATGAAAATTTCTGTCTTCTGAGTTATTGCGCTGTGTAGTCTGGTCGATGTTAACCAACTGTTTCAGAGGTGATACTGCCTCCGTCATCAGGGCGATGAGTATGAAAATTTCTGTCTTCTGAGTTATTGCGCTGTGTAGTCTGGTCGATGTTAACCAACTGTTTCAGAGGTGATACTGCCTCCGTCATCAGGGCGATGAGTATGAAAATTTCTGTCTTCTGAGTTATTGCGCTGTGTAGTCTGGTCGATGTTAACCAACTGTTTCAGAGGTGATACTGCCTCCGTCATCAGGGCGATGAGTATGAAAATTTCTGTCTTCTGAGTTATTGCGCTGTGTAGTCTGGTCGATGTTAACCAACTGTTTCAGAGGTGATACTGCCTCCGTCATCAGGGCGATGAGTATGAAAATTTCTGTCTTCTGAGTTATTGCGCTGTGTAGTATGGTCGATGTTTACCAACGTTTCAGAGGTCATGAATCGCCCTGATGACGGAGGCAGTGTGACCTCTGAAACGTTGGTTAACATCTACCATACTACACAGCGCCAACAACCCAGAAGACACGAATCTTCAGACTAACTTGGAATGCTGTCCTCTGCGGGCTTCTGTCTTCTTCAATCGGTGTACATGCTGCCTGCCTTAATGTAACGTAAACGTTTCTGTGCGTTCAACTATGTACAGCACCAGCATCGTGCAACCACCGTGATAGTAAAAGGTACAAAGGGAAATAACAATTATGAAGCTTCTAATGGTGTAATTTTTCCCGAGACTATAATCCACAAGTGGAAGCTCATTACCAAGTAACTGACCACACTCACTTCCGTAACACGGCACAAAATTAGCATAAGCTGTTTCTTAAGTATTACTATGTTACCAGTTTTCAGCAGTGGAACATTATATACATCAAAACTTACAAACAAGTTTCACATAATGTTTGATTAACAAGATGTTACGAAGCATATTACAGTACAGGATATTTCTGAAAGAAGAAGCTGAACACGGCGAGGAGTGGAGTAGTGGGATAAGTAGGTGGGAGAGAAGAACAGCGCTGAAGATATGTTTGGAATGTAATTAAAATAACAAGGCTGAGACCGCCTCAACTGGTGCATGCAGAAACTGAACAAACGCTACAGGGCCTATTGCGCTATCATATGCTCAACTCTTAAAAAAAGGAGAAGAACCCTAGTTTAGAAACTCGTAGTAGTTTAGCTGGTCAAGAAATTCTTCACAGTTTATTGGTGCCCGAAGGTCCTTTAGTGTTCACAAAAACCTGACACTCTGTCTCATCCCGAGTTACTTGAATCCAGTCTACATCCTTAAAACATATTTCTTTCAAGACTTCTTTTAATATTATCTTCGGATCTGTCTCTAAATCTTCCAAGGTGGTCTGTTTATTTTAAATTGTTCTGACATTTTCACTAATTTCTAATCTTCTACATACGTGCTGTGAGTCGTAACTATCTCCTTTAATTTAAGTGAATAAGGAATGGCGTAAACATTTACGCGCTTTTATGCTTGTACATAGAATGTGTATACGATTTGCAGTTGAATGAAAAACCTAAAATGCGCGAATTTCTGAGACGTGAGGATAACACGAAGTCGTTAACAGGTTTAAGAGCTGCGCTGGAACTAGGTTATATAATTTATCCCACGAAAGAAGCCAGTAATATGTATACAAGACAGACTACAACGTTAAAGCCGTAAGATTGTATTTAGATATCAAACGTAAATTAAGTCTCAGTGTACCCGTTATCTTTTTTGTTATCAACGCAGAAAATGAAGAGAGAAAATCTTTCCTGATGGTGAGGAAAGATTCATGGCTGAAACACATATCTGAATAAACACTAGAATTTTTAAGTATGCAGTCTTTCAAGAGAAAGTTAGCATTAAATATTTTTCTTCATCTATCATTGATTATTTTAACCTCTGTGGTCACGATTTCGGTATTTTATTTTTAATAATGACCCTCAAAGACTGCAGATACAATCGCAGATATCCTGGAATGTAAATTATTCTGGGCTGACAAACAGGAAATTACGTCGCGCTGTCGATTTAATTATGGCCTTGGTTCAAGACCCGTTATTTCTAGTTACTTTTTTTGGGCAGGCGAAGTTACTTTTGTTTACCTCACTTCTGTCATATTTCCTTTTCATTCAATATTATTACATCACAGACGCTAAATCATGCTGATAATCGATACATTTCAGAAATATATCTATCATTTATTCCATTGGACTGATTAAGTTTTATTTCTAGTCCCCTCATGAGGAACAACAGTGGTTACATTGATCTACTCCCAACTCTACAGAAGGCAATAGAATTTTCAACATAACTGGACGCTTTACGTCTTCACAGACAAATGGGTGTTGGTGCACTACAATGATCAAACACTGAATCTGCTTCTGTTTCTTCTCCTGCTTATATTGTTTCCATCGATTCCTGATGCTGTCTTTCCTGCTAATCCTGCTGTTACTGTTGATACTGATCCTACTCTTATTCTCCTGCCGCCTGTCTGACGAACGTGATGCAGATCCTGTTTGGTGCACCTTCCGTTTGTCTTTCTCCTGCTGATGCTGGTACTCTTTTGCCACATCGCTCCTGTTCGTACATCTGGTGCTGTTCCTACAACAACTGACGTCGTTCGTGCTTTTTCCGCTCTTACCTCTAGAATTCCAATAAACACCGAGTAAATTAGCATTATGACGGAAATGGTTGCGGCATATTGGAATTTAATATCCAGCCATTCGCCTTCAGTTTCTGAGGAGATCATCAAGAAGCTCGTTCAAAATTAGTCGGTAACCAAGGTGAAATTTCTACCCGGTAACAACCAAATATAATCGTAAGTTGTTGCAGTTAAACTCGACTGCTCGGTGGGTGGATAAATGGAGAGATGGATCTGTGGGCGGAAGGGTGATGAGTGGAACGGTGAATGCCTGAACGGACTGATGTATTGGTAAAATTGAAAGAATATGTAGCTGTATAAATTGATGAATGCATGGACGTTCGGTTGGAATTGTAAATTAATTAATTATTTGTAATGACTTTGGGTAAATAATAACTTGAATGGATGTAATCGGTAAGTGAACATATCAGTTAATATTTAAATGGATAGACGGGTGAGTTAAAGGAATGGTATATGGGTGGGTGTAAGAATGGATGTGGATAAATTTGGTATTTGGATGTTTGATGTGCGGATAGATGGAGGAGTGGCCCGAATGGACAGTAAACTCTGTTACATACCTGAAGAAGACTCTGTAATGGATTGAATCGAAGACTTCTGAACATGAAGGATATGTAACAGCTACGATCAACCTCACAGAACATATGGGAGTGTAGGCGATATTAGCGTGGGTTAAGCTTGACTCTCCTGTAGCCAAGTGAGATTAACGCGTGACAGCGATACTAACTAATTGGCTAGTGACTTAAGAATCACTTCGAGGAATCGCTATTAGAATACATGGCTCGCTCATGCTGATTGGACTCCACCTCAGAACACCACAAAGACAGTGACAACATATTCCCCAACTCACACCTCTGCCAGGTACAGACCCGATCAGGTAAAATTAAATATCACAGCTCCGGCTTGAAGTTCGTACAATATTTCATAATGAATTAACTGCCTCTGCATGTGTTCTTAGAAGTAATTTACATAATCACTGTCTGCTTGAATAAAATCTTCATCTTCCTTCTTTGAAGGTTATTCATGATAAAGCAATCACGTAAATTAAAATTCTCATCATTAACTCTACTCACTAGTGTTATCAAATAGCTAAACTACTTAATTTTATCCTTGTTTTTTCTCAAAACAAATTGCTTTACTGAAATAATAGAAACTATTTCCTACATAAATTGTCTGTTGCAAACTCTCACTTAATACTTGTAACTATATACATTATATATATATATGTGTATATATATATATATATATATATACCTTTAATAATTTTCGTATGCAATAACAGGATACTATAGTCTCTTACCTGGCGCATAAAACCTAGTACTGTGCAATAAATAAACACATAATTTTCTACGTTATCAGTGAATTCAAAACAAAACTTCAAAGAAGAGAACACAAACCAGTGGCGGATTCTTGTATAATTGTAATGAAACAACGTTATCACGAAAGAAGGGAAACTTTCTTGCATAGATGAGCTACTAACAGTTCCACAAAACTACTCTGATCCACGAAGCACGGAAGAAACAGATCGAACATACGATCCAATTCTCATAGAAGCTGTTCTTCGTATGACCACTTTCGTCCTCAACTGAACAAGCAGGATCTACTAAGCTACAAATCACATATCCATTTACTGTTCTGTAAGCTGTTTCAAAGAATCTGTTAAAACTCTAGGAATTGCATGTAACATGACAGTTTTGTCTCTTTATGGAGTGTTTAGCTGGAAATTTACCGACTTTCGGCTGTCCGAGACTAATAATTAAATGTATTTGCAGGTACCATTCACAGCCGGAGGCCGCGTCCTCTGTTCGCTGCACTAAGTAGAAGCTCGCGTGGGACAAAACGTCAGTAAACGTAAACGCTATTTTTACGGAGCTGACTCTAGCAAAACTCCGGGTCATATATTCCCTCTATCGGGTATAAAAATACCGGAAAGGACAAAAGTGAGAAGTGAATAATTTCGACAGTAGATATAATCGTCGCAAAGCTGAAAGTTTCAAATCTGCAAAACAGACATTTTACAGGAGAGGCAAAAGTATTTTTTTCAGATTCGCAGCTATACCCCTGAATAGTCGATATCACGTAAAATGCATTACCTTAAACTGACTGACTGAACGCCACTGTTTTGATTACAATCTTTATAAGAGTGTTGAGTAAGATAAAAAATGACGATACTTGTCAGTACGCAAGAGTGAAGGATGCGGTGGTGGCCTACTTCGAGGAATTGCTTTGAGGCTGAGAAAACTCACAAAAATCTGAGTTAGGCTTGTTGGTTAAAAACCCGTAACAAATCATAAACAATGGAGCAAATAAGCCTATGAGCAGTCCACTGGTCTCAAACCGCACATCGCACCAGACGTTCAGAAAAAAAATATGGCAACACTGCACTTGAAGAGATTCAAAGCACTGCTGTGCCACTTCAATAGTTTTAGACATTACCATGCAAACTAGACTTTGCTGTACGCTAGAAATGCCTAGCCGGAATAACGCAGAGTGCGGGTATACACAAAGTCCGACAATTAAATAACCGGCTGGTTCCATAAATAAATAAATATATTAAAATTTACTGTGTTCATCTTCACAGTGTTCGGTTTATAGCATTTCAGCGGATGTGCCATTCCTGGAAACAAATCGGAAATAACTTTTTCCGAAAATAAATTCAATATTGTCATATCTATCCGCCTTTAAGTGGTTCGGATTGAGACCTTTCAAGGTCATTTTTAGTCTTTTGAACAAGAACAATTCATACAGGGCGAAGCTGGGTGAGTACATTAGACGTTTCAGCTCTTGTATTTGATTTTGCTTGCCAAAACTCGTTTAGCCGACAGTTATGATCGCAATGGGCAATTCCTTCTCGAAATAAAAAGCAGAATTAATGTTTCAATCTCGACTTTTCCGCTTTTTATGATTCGGTGACTATTAACTTTGTCGTTAGAGAACTCGAAATTTTTTGTGGGGGTGGAGGGTCTTTCTGAAACCTATATTTCATGCACTTTCAGAATGTCGGGTTCTTCCAATAATCTCGCTGAACGCTCCGAACATACGTATTTATTTGTACACTTTCATAACAAATAAAGAACTAAAGTATCAGCTACATTCAAAAACCTTTGTCACCCATAACACTTCGACACAAAAGTGATGAATAACGTAGTGACAATACGCAATAGCTGACCAGTATTGCCAGTTGCTGCGAAAAGAAATAATCAGTCCGATTATTTAATTGTCAGAACGCGTATAACCATATATTCCTATTCTTGGTTTTAGATCCTTGATGTAATTGTATTTCATCTGACGCTCTCGGAATCTTAACGACATTCTTATCCATTTAATAGTCGATTATCTTGATGTGGTCACGGATGTGTTGGGTGTGTTCGAAGACAGCCAGCGTGTACATAAGCTAAATACTATGTCGTCTCCGCCGTAACAAAAAGGTAAGTGCATGAGTGGCGTATCGTTATACATTGTGAGGCCGTCGATTAATTTATCTTCATTTTCTTCACGTTTTTTGGCTGAAGAGTCTGTTCCGTCTCCAACTGATCGCTCGATCTTTTTTCTTTGGTCGTCCTAGTCCCTTTCTTCAGCGGAGTTTATAGTTTGTTGCTAACTTAATAATTTCATTGTCCTCTATCCGTCCTAAGTGGGCCCAAAATTTTCTCCTTTTTTCTCCTCGACCATAGACAAAATTGCAAAACACGCATTTAACAAGTATAGGTCAGCTACTCCAAATTAATCCTTGTTAATTCAGTCACTGTGTAACTTAAATTAAACTTCAAATGAAACAACCAACAGCATGTACTTTCTGTTAACAGCTGAACTGCGTTTTGCTACACTTGTTTCGACAAACAGTAACTTAGCACGAATGGGCCCCTTCCTATGAACAGTGATACGAAGTGACACTTGGGCAGGTGGTAGCCCTCTATTGTCTTTTGGACAATCTTCGCCAGTATCGTTTACGCCCGTCAGAGCACACAGAAACACTCAGATTGCTACGTAGCTCAGGCAGTTAGTAACCAGCTAGTCGCAGTGGAGGCCCGGTTTGGCGCCTAGGTCAGTGAGAATTTTGGTGGACAAATTGGCATTTGGACAGGATTTTCTCTGAGCCCTTCGGTTTTCCCCTGTCAGTATCACTTCGCCGTCGTTTCGTACACTCATATGTAAAGCCCTGTTCTACAAATACATAGTCTCACCCCAACGCAACAATAACAAGTGATACAGTCGTAAAGGAGTAAATACAAGTAAAATGTGTCCGCCCGAAACGTCCAGGTCTTGTACGAAAAGACAGGATGTGGATTAAAATAATCAGGGATGTAGCTCGTATTGCCACTGAATGTAACTTATATTAAAATTGCTCATGGATTATGCCCGGGTCTATAAAAAACAGAATCAGACACTACAGACAGAGTATTATTAACATTAAACGTCCTCTCGTGCGATAAAATATCACAGACAAACAATATATTTTTCAGTCCACACCCTCATGTCTTAGTTTATTGATAATTAAAACCAAGACACCCGCCTCACCTTCATATCCATAAAGCAGATTTGTTCTGCCCATCTTTTTCTGAAGCTGTCTCTCACCATTGTCATGGTAAAGCGATATGTGACATGTTTCCAGGGAACGCCTTAACAATGGGTCATTGTTTGAAAGAAATTGACTCCCTCAAACTAGCTACTGTGACAGAGTTTACAATTGGGAGGAAGAAAAGATATTCAGTAACGAAATTTAACCATTAAACTGAAAATAATACTTGATATCCACCAACGTTCTTTACTAACAGAAATAGTTCGCAACTTGAGAGTAAGATGCACTTGAAGTAAGTCATTTTAGAAATAAATTGCACCTACAGCCAATATAAAGTCTATTAGAACATCTACATTAACATTTTCTAATCAGTTAACTCTATGGAGCAGAGTCCTTCTTGAGGCGTTAATAACCGTTCGGCTAGTCAGGATATTCCTAAAGTTTTATGGAACTCGAAGGTACATTTTCGTGTCCACAAAATTCCGCCTCTGGATTCTATAAGGTTCAAAATGAAATACAAACCTTCACGTTTTATGTAGAGTAAACAGTAGTGCTGAATTTGATCGAAATCAGTTGAATATATTCGGAGACAGCCCTTGTGTGCAGAAAAATAAGGCAACCGGAACACTACTTTATTGCAAGCATTTCTCTCAGAGAATAGATCAGGTAATGATTTTTATCTAGTTTCTAAAATTGTGTAGGACCAAATGATAGGATAAGCGACTAATAAATTGGAAAGTGCGTGGAAAGAAGAGGGCATGACCTAATTTAATACGCTGTTCTGAGATGTGTCCGGACTGACTGAGGAAAACCACGAAAACTCTCAGGATAGCCAGTTGACTGCATAGTTGGGTTACAATATATGGGGTTGAAACTTCGAAAACATGAGGAAATGAGCAAAATAATTTTAATCCCTCTAACACCGAATAACATTATTAACAACACTGACGTCAAACACCATAAGTAACTAATGGTATAATATTAAGAAATCTCCAAATAATATTTTCATATTGCAATCTGTTATGAACAATCAAGGATTTTACTGACCTTAGAGTACAATAAAAGGAACCATAAATTTGAATCATCATGGAGTAGAGAAACAAATCATGATTGTATCTGTGTGTTGCAAGGGCCCGCTAGGGATCGTGATGCAAAACACATATACAGAGTTTGACTTCTTACACAGTTGGATATAAACAAAAATAAGAGGAAACACAACTCGATTGAACACGAAGGAGCTATATTTTAAGAAGCGCCGTGTCACCCAGTCTCGAAGACACATTAATATTCTTCTGCAAACATAATCTTAAATCTCCATTTTATCTTGCCTGCTCTTAAATACCAAACATCTACTACTCTTACACTGATCATTTTATCCTAAAAGAGAGGGCGGGTTGCAGAGTGAACTCAACATTATTCACCTGTTCTACATATCCCTTTATAAGAAACGATGAAATTGTAGCTTTATAGCCCATTGTTTTAGATTCAACATGCATTTTTATTCATCTATTCCATACCACATACACACATGTGCATACTCTCTTCATATAGTGATAATATCGGAATAATATATATAGACCTGTTACAGCTGACCAGTAAAGAACGACCATTTCTGAAATATGTAAAACTAAATGCAAGGTCTATGTAGACGAGTCACATTAAAAGTACCAGCGAACACCCGTCAAATAGAAAAACATCCCATCAACACCGTTCGACGTACAACTACAATTCAGTGACGTTTTCATTTATTAACACAATTAAAGGGAAAACAACCTAAATATTTTTACACAGCTACATTAGCATATTTATTCAGAACTTAAATAAATATTTATCCGGCTACAAAATTTTAATAGAAAATATTTATTTATTTAATACTAAATCTGAATCAGGACCATTTAACAAATTCATATTATTCTCACAATATGACACTCAGTTAAGGCTCCCACAACCAAGAGCATTAAAGAAATTTACACGGCTTGTAACTTTATGCAGAACTACAGAAGGAATAGGTCCATCTGCACGCGCTGGGAACTTCAAGGAGAAGAAGAAGAAGAAGCGAAGGACGGACAGAAACCCTTCAATTTACCCATTAGCGAAGCCCCTCAATTAAAGTCATTAATTTTTAGTTAGGAGGGTCTAAGTGGCGTGGGGGAGCCCATTTGAAGGCTGGACAAGCCGATAGGTCGCACGCTCTTCACATAATAAGAGTTTGGTTCGCTCTTCAGATTTACGTAGGATCATGGGCCAGTGGTACTGGTTTGCGGTTCTCAGATTTATTAGAAAAAAACATTTTACAGCATGTTAAAATACAGTAAATATTATCTAAAAGAATTTATAGTAAACACAAACTTACCTTCGCCGGGAAATGTTGCTGGTTCCACGGATATGAGGCAAAAACCTGTAAAATTATCTCTGATAAACTGAAAATACTTAATACAACGGAAAGCAGTAATATAAATGTTCATTGTGTTCTGCTTATATAATTACATCCTGTAAATTGTTTCCTAAAATGTAACTGTGAAGTAATAAAGGCGAAATGAATTAAGGTGAACTGTAGACTAAATAAGTTTAGAAACATTAAAAGAAGGAAAAAGTTGTCTTAGTGTTTAACCAATCACCATGTCATGAGGGCGTATATGGTAGCGTAGGCATAGCTCTAATCTTTCTTCTGCACAAGATAGAGGTAAGCGGTCAGTTTCACGCCTCGGATGCTTTACCCCCGGGAGAAAGGACCCCCAGAATCTATTAAATAGGAAGCTGGATGGGTCACAGAGCTGGTACTAATATGGGAGCTAATAGAAAAATGCCGTGTCAATTCCGGGAACTGAGACCTAGTCGTCAGACCATAAAAGAGTTAAAATGGGCACTGGTTAGCGCAAACAAGGTAGTTTACACATTTGGTATGAATTTTTGAACTTTCACCTAGATGTAGGTCCTACATTCCGAAATGTGAGACAGAAAAATATTCAAGTCAGAACAAAATTACACTGTACACTATTTACTGGGTAGGGCTAAGTTTTAAATAAAGCGGTCATCGATAGATAAACATAAGAGGAACAGAGGTGGAGCGTGAGTATTAACCTTATCAGACATGTTAGCCCAGCAAACACAGTTAACACGAACGTTCCGCCCCTGAAAAAATTCTGTGGTTACATGAACACAGATAAAGAAGAAAAAATACAAATGGACTTCAACTGGAAATCTTGAAAAAGAAATAATTTTAAACACATAGAGAGTTAAAAAAAATTTGAGGAAGTTGGAAAAAGTGGACTAGAATGGTCGACAGGTACGGTACATCATAAGTTGTGGCCAAATGCCAGCGCAGAAAGTAGACCAGTAACTGGATTTATAACGATTAGAGATGTAAACCATATTATCATTCAACACAACTCGTACTAAAACTAAATATGCAAATGTGTGAATCCATACGGAACAGAAGCACAATAAGTGTATGGCATAACATGAAATGCCCTCTTATACAGAACAAGAAAATATTCATAAGAAACAATATATTCTCCTGTCTACGCCCTCATGTCTTAGTTTATTGATAATTAAAGCCAAGACACCCGCCTCAGCTTCATATCCATAAAGCAGATTTGTTCTGTCCATCTTTTTCTGTAGCTGTCTCTCGCCATTGTCATGGTAAAGCGATATGTGACACGTTGTCAGGGCACGCCTTAACAAAGGGGCATTGTTTGAGAGAAATTCGCCTCCTGAAACTAGCTACTGCAACAGAGTTCAGATCTGAAGGAAGAACGAATAAGCAGCAGGTATATTAACCGGTAAACACGAAATGTAATTTCATATCCTCCAAATGTCCCTTCCTAGCGCAACAAGACAACACTTTCGCTGTTAATTCAAACACAATACCAAGAAAAATGATGATGTTATTTTATAAATTAATTACAGTTATACTTTAAAAGAGTAGCTAAAGAAAACGAGAAGTTATGTTCTTGCTACAGTGGTAATAAACTATATTGTGATCCGTTAACTTCACACAGCAGAATTCTTTTATGGACGTTGATAGTTGTGATGCTCGTTAAGATATTCCCACCATTTTATACAACTCAAAGGCTAATTACCGTGTTCGTAAAAGTCACCTTTCCTGAAACAGTTGAATTCACAGCACACCTTAACACTCCATTTCCTCAACGTAAGTTTACTGTTGTCTTCCAACCAACTCTTATATCTTCCTTCAGGTTCTATAATTAAAATTCCCTTCGCATTTCCCATCTCTCCTACATGTGCTCATTAACCATAAAACCAATCATCACTCTGGTTAAGAGTACAAATTAAGTAGGATTTGAGATTATCTCGGCGGTTAGTATGAAGATGACTGTCTTCTGGTTTGTAGCGCCGTATAGTCTAGTAGTAATTCATTAATGTTTCAGAGGTCCTTACTGCCTACATCATCAGTGCGATGAATCCTGATGATGTAGGCAGCTAATTATTATTAATCATGTAGTTTTATGTATCCTTTTTATCTGAATTAATTAATATCAGGACCAACGACTTCGTTTAACATGCAGGTGACTTCGCAGCAAAACACTTATCGTATTATCGTACTAGGTGGGAACGTTGAAACCATTTACCTCTACATAAGCGTGTGAAGTTTCTATTCTGGAATTCAGCTTTGAATCAACTAATATTGATACACTTCTTTCGTGGTCTCTGAGACCAGGTCCTCCTGTATGTCGTAGTAATTTTATCCCTGCACTTCGTTGCAAATTTGCGTTACAAATTGTCTCGGTGTCAAAATGTCACTGGTATATATAAGGGGTTGTCAGTGTCCGACCTATCCCCGAAGCTGAAATACCACCCCTTATCGGTTATTTGCGACTATTTATTCAACATATTTGGAGCTACTCTCCGTACGTGCAGCCAGTATCACCCGTCTCAAACCTGAGGACACGTCATGCCGTGGCCACAAAGGATTCACTTAATACAGATACATTAATCAATGTATGACAAGTAGGTACGTTGTACGATGCTCTAGCCGTTCCGACATCTGGTATCATTTACCTCGAATTCAAGGGATTTCTTTTGAACGTAATTTTTATAGAAGAGCTCTTGTATCGAATCAGCTGTTACGGTCATCATAATTAACCTCTTATTTTAATGTCGTTAGACTCATCAATATACACCAGACTTCAGAAATTCTGTTAATCGTTGAACATTATTTTATTTACTAGGAATTCTTATGGTAAATTACCAAATGGTTAATAGTTTATTAAAACGTAATTGCGATGTTGTTCTTGTTTTCCAATGCGGACATTAAACAAGAACTGCCTGCTTGATTGTGTTTAATATGAACGTATATAACAGAGGAGATTTTCTATTTTAATGGTATCCCATATGGAAAATGAAACAGTTACACTGACCTTTAATTACAATTCCAAGGTGAAAGGGGGAAAAGAGAATAGCTTTGAATGTAAAAACCGAAACTTCATTGTTCATTTGTGGCTAATAGCCTACATAATAAATACCATAAGTAAATAAAAATAATAATGTTTTCTTGATAACTTTAAAACGTTTACATAATAAACATTGAGTGAAAACTGACAACAGATTGAGATTTCAGAATCTCATGCCGGCGAGTATGTAGATGATTGACTTTTGTGTTGGTGCTTCGTGTAGTTTGGTAGAAGTTGATGAATCATCGCTCTGGTGATGAAGGTAACAAGTACCTCAGAAACGTCCGTAAACTTACACCAGACTGCATGATGCAATAACCCAGTAGATAGACATCTTATGAGCTAGTTATAAGGTGAATTTGTTACGTATTTTAATTGTTCTCTATGAAAAAATGTTACACTCTTAATATTAGAAATCACTGCAGGTGTATGACTCAAGTGGATAAGAAAACTATCTGAACCAGCACAAAACAGTAATCAGTCATCCCTTTGATCAATGAATGTAAAAATATTTATTTGTTAATTTTCGAGATTTCACTTTTATAAATTTATTTATTTTTTCCATATAGTTTATTTAACGACCGTTTCTCAGCTAAACGTGTTATTCCAGTGGAATTTGAAGATGGTTGTGACTGATGTACTGAACAGTTTGCAACTGTCGTGATCTATTTAAAAAATTCTAATAATTTTTCTGGACTTAGAGTAAAGATAACAAAAAGTTCGCCTGGGTCTCTAAACCAAAAAATGGATCATGACTCCCTCGAATACAAAGTGGGAAAGCAAATTACTTAACCAGTTTGGTACAAATTTAGTTCTTGAAGGAAACTTGTCTCGTGTGTCCGAGTTCTAAATTGCCCTACACCACGTACAAGAGAGGACAAGACACGATTTCTTTGTTTGAAGAGGCGAGTGCACGTCTGCTAGTGATCCTAGCCGGACGATTACTTCGACTAATTGTAGGGCCGGGTGCAAGGACTCAAGGGGGAAGCAAAAAAGGTGTTCTTGAACTGGAGAAAGAAAATCGGAAATTGGGATAATCGAAGTTGGTACGAGACTGGGGTGCAAAAGGTATCAGATTCTTACACACACACACACACACACACACACTCTCTCTCTCTCTCTCCCCCTCTCTCTCGCTCTTCCTCTCCTTGATGAGAGAAAACTTAAACCACGGCCCCCTGCAAGCTCATGCTAGCCTCTTCGACTGCCTTTGTCTCCAATCTGATAACACGGGTCCGTGGTGGGAATTTCAATATCGCCCTTAACGAACTTGGCTTCACGTTTAAATGTTTCTTTAATTCTACATTTTTAACTTTCAAACATTTCTACTTCGTCTGATACAGTACTAAAATAAATGTTACTAAAGGTAAAATATATTGTAAACACAGTGGTAACTATATGTACCACCTGCTTTACATTTCGTTCACGCAGTGTACTTAGGAGTTTCGTATGATCCACGGATTAAACACGGATTACTTTCTTAAACAGCATAAAGATGTGGTGTGTTTTGTTTGAGGTACAAACTGATTTTTTATATTATGATATAACATTTTGACAGGAGCGCACATTTGCCTCTCTGCATGATTCAATTCAAGAACCTCTGAACGGCTTTTGATAAAATTTGGTATGGGCATCATCCCATTGGAAGCTACCCAAAAATCGTACCGTTTAATTTCCTGCGTTGGGTAAAATTAATATGGAGGGCACATAAACTTATGACGTGGGAGCGAAACCGTACAGTCCTAAAATGATGTATGGTAACATCTTTAAAAAATATGTAACATTAGGACATATTTTGTAAAATATAAATAAATATATTTGCGTTTGTCCACAGGGAACATTTGTTTCACAATTAATTTACATCCAAGGACAGTACGCTAAACAAACCACAGATATCAAAGTTTAAGGAATCGGGAAAAGTCGTCGTTGTATTTTTAGGATATTTATCACATAACAATAATTACAGATAAAAGTTAAATGTATT